GGCACTCGAACCCCTATTCCTACTAAGTAACCTATTGAGTTAATAGCCAACAAACATTGGCGAATCAAGGGGTCTAGCCGGCCTACGCCGTCTGGTACCTCTACTACTCAATCTAGATTGCGACAAAGACTAAGTAACTCCTAAGTTAATAGTCACTCAAACTTAGTATGGAGCCTAAAAGGTATGAGTCGTCCACTTGTTTTTAATAAACAAAGGCTCTCAACCAATACTCTTGCTAGGTTAACAAATTACGAGTTAAAAGCCAACATTGGCAATAAAGGGAAACAACCGGTACCCGCCGCTTGTTCCTTGGCGACTAGGTAATTCTATTTACTTGGTCAGACAAATTGAATAAATAGTTCGAATACCGATTGAATAAATGGCCGACTGATCATCTATCCTGGAAACAGACCACCAGTCGTCCAGGGGCATAGGCGGCATACTTACTATTTGTACATGTCTTAATGTTCGGCCATACACAACAGTCGGTCTAGTGAACAAATTAAAAATACTTAGACAAATTTGAATCAAAACAAAAATTTGATTAAAAATGAGCCGGCCATAAAAGACCAGCAGAATATTCAAAACCCCGGCCCCCTGGCCGGGTAATTACAAATCAAACGGCACGCAGGCCGTGGAAAAAAAAAAAAAAAATAATACTTAAAGCTTAAGAAGGGGGCAGTTCAGTATCAGCAGCTGCCGCCTGGTCAGCACTCTTGTTGCTGGACTCGGCCTTAGCTGCACCCTCTTTTGATGCCTTACCCCCAAGTGGCACAAGCGCCACAACCGGCTCTTCCTCCTCCAACGCACCGTCCAACGCCTCTTCTTCAGCAGCCGCCAGGATCTGTTGATTATATGTTTCCGAACACTGGCGGTACGTTCTTTCCCATGAGGCAAAGTCGGCACTGGGGAACAGTCGTTCCCAGGTCATGCGTTGGATTTGAGCGGAGTCTTCCACCATCTCCCGGACGAGCTCTTGTTTCTCTTGCTCGGCCTTGTCCGAGAGCTCTTGGGTAAGACTCTTCTCTTGGTTCACCAGGCGTTCTTTTACGTTGGCCAAAGATTTCTCCATGGCTTCGTAAGAGTGCATTTTTTGGCGAAGAGGTTTCAGCTCGGCTTTAAGGTTGGTGACGGTCCCCTCCAGCTCGTCAACCTTCTTTTGGGCCGCCTCTAACTGAGCCCGAACAGCGGCGGTAGCCTGCGCCTGATAATAAAGAAGATCAATGGTCAGTACTTCATTTTGGGCAATTTGAAACATTGCCTTATCACAGCTGGAGGCGGCCATAGCCTTTGCGGCCTTTACCTCTTTGTTTTTTCCGATCAATCGGCTTGCGAAGGCTGTTGACTCGGAGCAGGGCCTAAGTACAAAGAAAAACAGGCGTCAGTTTCCAAACAGAAAAGTTAACAGGCGTCAGTTTCCAAACAGAAAAGTTAACAGGCGTCCTGGAACTCAAAAGCTCAAAAATATGCTAAGTATACCTCAGCTAGGACCCCTGAAATCCCATCAAGGTCAAGGGTGCCGGCACCCCTGACCGCCTCCCTGTCAGATGGAGGAACTACTTTAACCATAGACTTGGCTACCTCAACCAAGTCAAGTCCCTGGGGGCCGGCTGCATTAAGCGAAAGGAAAAAACAAGTTAGACCTAGTCAAGAAGGAAGCAAGGGTGAGTTTTTACAAGCAAGTGTCCATACATCTAGGCGGCCCCGCCTGGGTTTTTGAAGAAGTGGCCGGCTGCTTCTCAGCCGCCACTGTTTTCCTGGAAGACCCAGGAGAGCTTGCAACAGTCGTCCTCCGGGCCTTGGGGTCCGGCTGTTGCGAGGAGGAAGCCCTTGGAGTGCCAGACTGAAAACAAAAAGAGTTAGTATATGCATAAGACAACTAAAAGAGGAAGAGTTTTCAAAGCTTACCAAGGGTGCCTCCTTGTTGGGGGAGTCGGCATACGACTGCTTCATGAGCGAGGCCCGCAACATGGCCGCCGCAGTCTTAGATGCTGATATTTTACTCATGGCGTCAGCTGCAAGAAATAAACAACAAAGTTAGTAAAAATCCCAAGTAAACAAGGCGTGAAAAAACAGAGTATTCGTCAGGCCGGCTACCTCTAGAGCACCGACTGCCGAGGCCACAGGCGGCCAAAAAGTACTCGTCATAGAGCCACTTGAAGCTCGGGACGCAGTTTAGGGGTACTTGCTCTCGTACCCCTGAAGTAGAGTTCACCCTAGTCTCTACTTTGAAGAGTCCTTTGTCTAGGATCTCTCTTTTAGCCTTTGGGGGAACAGGCGGCATGGTGCGGCCGCCTGCGAGAAGAGGCGGATCCCTATTCCACTTGTTAAAGCGTTTGTTCAGCTCCGTGTCTGAACCCTCGATAATAAGGAAGGTGTTCCGCCAATCCTTCCATTTGTTCGCCTTACCTCTCGTCATGAGGTAACCCCTATGGCTTGTTAGTTGGTACCAGCCGGTACCTCCCGACTTAGGGGTCCGGCTGAGATAGTTCATATGGGCGAAAGCCTCAAAGCTTGGCTCCACCCCGTACATTTCGCACCCGGCCACATAGCCGAGTACGTTTACCCAAGAGTTGGGGGCTAACTGCCATAACCCCAGATCATACCCATCTAAAATCCGCTGAACAGCCGGATGTAATGGGAAGCGCAGTCCAGCTTTGATGGCCGCCACATAGCAGCCAAAGCAGCCGTCACCATAGCTGGTACCAGCCGGCCAGACGACAGTGTCTTCTGGATCCGGCACGAACAGTAAAAATTCCGGGCCCATTTTGTGGTTAGCAATAAAGCTCGCCACGTTGTCTTGCATGGTTGCAATCCGGCCCCGGGGTACCCTGCAGTAGTAGGGGGCGTTTTCCTCTCTGTAAGAGGCGGACGGCTCTGCCCAATTATCCCCCTTCTCAACTGCATGAGAAAGTCTCGCCTCTTGTAGGCGGCTATGTTTTTCTTCTGAGCCTGGAGAACTGTGTCCAGAAGAGCTGGACTCAGACTCGTCCTCTGACGAGTCCGAGGAGGACGACTCCTCCCCTTTCCTAGAGGGGCCCGCCTCCTCTCCCTTAGAAGGAGCAGAAGGAAAATTAGACATGTCAACGGTAAGATGGGAAGGGAACACCTTGGCCCCTCTCTCAGAACTGTCGGCTTGACAGTCGCCTCGTTCTACATCTGGCGCCTGGTCAGATGTTTCACTAAGGAGCACCCTTTGGGAGGAGCCGTCTGAGTTTGATATCTTAGCAGTCTGTTTCGTTCTGGCCATCACGTTCTGCATAGACACAGATACAGTCGGACTTTGTATAAAGGGCAAAGATGGGTCCAGAAAAGGGCAGGCGGCACTCCTAGTCCTAGATTCAGTCGTCCCCGGTGACCGGCTGATCACTAACTTAGGTCGTGTCGTGTGCTTCCATGGTGCCATTTCAAAAAATAAAAAGAAAATTAAGAGTAAGAGAACTGAGTTACCTGAACGAGTGTCGGTTGATGAAGTCCTGGAAGTACGGGTCAGTCGGCTTGTCAGAACAGGCGGTAGGCAGAAAAGGTCCGAAATGTCAGAGCAAGTTCAGGGGTCCGAATGTTCTCGCAAAGCTCTCAAATGTGAAAATGACCGAAGTCAGCACTTCCTTATATAGGCGAAGTGAGAAGGCGAAGGGTCGCTTCCAAATTCAAAATTTGGGCGGGAAAATCTCTCGGCCGTTTGCAAGGTGACACCTGTAGCAGGCCGTCGCCTGTCACCGTGCGACACCTGTCACAGGCGACATGTGACCAGTCACGTGCCACCTGTGAGGGGCAAATGATTAGGGGATTTTTGTCCACCAATCACCGTCTGACAAGTGGACCAACCAGGTTCCGCCACGTGTCCTTCACGAAGGCCAACAGGAGCCTGCCACGTGTCAATCACAGATACGTCCTCTACGGACCAATTTAGACACGCCACGTGTCCACCCATGCCAAATGGGAAAACCGGCCATCAAGGCCCAATTCAGTCTAGAGGCCCGATCAGCCCTAGGTTTACCTTAAACCTAGAGAGTGACACGCTTCTCAAGGCTATAAATACTCAATTAATCCTCATTAGTTGGGTAATCGAATAATCAAGAAATCAAGCAGAGAAGAACAGAGTTATTAACAACCGGCTAATCTCGCTAACGACGCAGATTACCAACACTAAGCACTCTCACCTAGAGAGATCTCATTACTTTAATTTCTGTATTGATTACTCCTTAATCAGGTACTAACTTGACCGTTGGAGGCGGAGCTCTCAGGAGTCTCCGTTATTTTGCAGGTACAGGCGTCCGGTTCCAGTCTCGGAATTGTAACTCTCCCGCAGGACATCAGAAAACCCCGAAACAAGTTTGGTTAAGTTCAGTGATCCAATTCGGTTAACTTTAGTGATCCAATTCGGTTAAGTTGTTAGTTCGGTGAAGTTGTGAGTTTTGTTAAGTTCAGTGATCCAATTCGGTTAAGTTGTGACTTCGGTTAAGTTTAGTGATCCAGTACGGTTAAGTCGAGTGAACTAGTCTGGATAAGTAGTGAGTTTGGTTAAAATAAAGTTGTGAGTTCGGTTAAGTTCAATGATCCAGTTCGGTTAAATTGTGATTTTGGTTAAGTAAAGTTGTGAGTCCGGTTAAGTTCAGTGATCCAATTCGGTTAAGTTGTTAGTTCAGTGAAGTTGTGAGTTTGATTAAGTTCAGCGATCCAATTCGGTTAAGTTGTGATTTTGGTTAAGTAAATTTGTGAGTCCGGTTAAGTTCAGTGATCCAGTTCGGTTAAGTTGTTAGTTCGGTGAAGTTGTGAGTTTGATTAAGTTCAGTGATCCAATTCGGTTAAGTTGTGACTTCGGTTAAGTTTAGTGATCTAGTACGGTTAAGTTGAGAGTTCGGTGCGGTAAAATTCAGTGATCCAATTCGGTTAAGTTGTCACTTCGATTAAGTCACGTGACGGGTCTATATAGAGCACCCGTTGTGTTATTATTTTCATACCAATTGCACCATTAGTTTGATTTAGTTGTTGTGAAAATGGTCGATGTATGTTGTACAAAATGCAATTCAATAGACCATATCCTGGAGGGGGGTTTTCGTTCAGGTCACATCACCGAGATTTGTGGGGATGAGGGAACCGGTAAAACCCAGATCTGTTTGCAACTATTGTTAGCTGCTCAACTTGATGTAGCGATGGGAGGTCTTTCCTCCTTTGCAGTGTACGTCACATCAGTTGCTAACTATCCTGCTGGTAGGCTCGCTCAAATGGTTCCACACGTATTCGGTTCATTTCCACCCCCAGATCTTAATCCTCTAAAGAGAATATTAGTGAAAAAGGTAGAATCACCGTACGAGTTAATTGAGACCCTTCAGTCGGTTGAAGAATTAGTCAAGGACGACAGAAGGTACCGTGTTGTAGTCATAGACTCGGTACCAAGCATATGCCGCTTTCATTTCCATAACACCCGTGAGTCAATGAAGGAGAGGACATCTATTGTTAACGTGTTCTCAAGTGGTCTTCGATCACTTGCAGAAAAATATGATGTGGTCGCGATAGCAGTTAATGAAACTGTGAAAGTGAACCCTAATGAGCAAAGGGATTGTGGATTACAATAATCACAAATGGTGTAAGGGTTCGGCCTGCTTTAGGGAAAACATGGAACAACAGTGTCAGCACAAGATTATTTGTTGAAAAGAAATACAATGAAAACCAGGAGTTTTGGGAAAGGACAATCCGGATTTGTTCCTCACCTGTACTCGAACCCGATGTAGGTCATTTCAAAATAAACGGTCAAGGTGTAGTTGATGTTTAGTGAATTACGATGCGGGTTATTATTATTATTTGATTTGATTTTTAGTGAAAATCCGATGTCTACATTAGTTGATAGGTTGTAATGTGTTATATTCATTTTTGAGTTCATGTTGTAAACCGTTGACCCTCTAAACCCTTGTAACTCTAGGGTTATTATTATTATTTGATTTTACTAACGTTATTATTGTTGAATTAATGTTTATTCTATTACTATTTTTGATCACCATATTGCATGTTATGTAACTTAAAATAACGCCTAATAAGATATTAAGTGAAAATAACGCATGTTATTTCATATTATTATTTAATTTGACTAACGTTATGTAACTGAAAATAACGCTTAACTGAAAACAACCGGTTTAGGTTCCTTTTTAATCTTGATATTAAGTCAAGTAGAGGCCAATATGAATTCCCACTTCCTACTTTGCTTTATCCCTAATCGTAATGTGAATTCTCACTTCCTATGATTGCCAAGTTACAAACCGACCAGTTACAAACCGAAAACTTTCAAACCGTTAACCCGATTGACACCAATTTGTTATAAAAGAACACATTTACCCTAAGCTTGAGATCCAGCCCCACTATTTTAAAAACATTGAATTATAAATATCTTTTCTTTTATGGGGGGAATGTTGTAACAAAAGTTTTTTAATTTCAAATTCAAATTTCTCCACCAACGAAAACTTCATCAACGACCACAATTACATTAGATATTGATTACAATTAATTTTTACCCCCGGTTGTCAACATCCCAACAAAACCATTTCTTTTGAAACCATTGAAACTCCAAATTCAAGATGAATGTGAAAGCTCTTCTTTCAAAAGTGATGAAATTAGTCGTAGGAAACCCTCAACAATTACCTGTACACATCCACCCGACTGAGCCAACGCTGTACTTTGGTAAGTACGAAACAGAGGACCAACCAGAGATTGAGTAAGAAAGTCAAACCTTACTTCACTCAACGAGCGTCGACTATGACCGGGTATTGTCTAGGAGCTGAAATACTGGTAAGTTGTTAATTTTGCTAATTCAACTTGAAAACAGTTCAATTTTCTGAACTTGTCATTTTGCTCTTACCAGCCAGGGGAGACCTCAGAAGAGGGGCTGCAATACACAACTGAGAACACCGTGCAAATGGATAGGATTTAAATTTGTATTCAGTTAATTGACATCTAAATTGCAATTTTCTATTTTTAAATGTTTTTTTTTTTTTTTTTTTTTTTTTCTTGAGGTTATATTATGTGATTTTGTTTATTCAGTTAAAGATTATGTACTAATTTGTGAGTTTTAAAATGCTGAACTTTAAAGTGTACTTGTTCCTCATTTATATTAAAAAACTGTAGGGGAAAAGTGAACATGTTAGGTTGTATTTGTGGGACCCCGTTATTGGTTGGGGAGGGGTAAATGAGGATATAGGCGCGAGAATGAGATTCAATTTCCGCCGATTTAGATTCAATTTCCGACAATTTTGATTCATTTTCCGCCAATTTTTAAAACCCAGTGAATTATTCAAGTTATATGGCGCAAAATTTGACAGCAATATAAAATGCATCAAATGGAAATGGAAGTAGTCAAACTAAACATAGTTTCTGTTACACAAAATGGTGAAGAACGAGCTCAAAATTCATGTCTCCCAAATAAGGGTTTCTAAATGTAAAAAACCACAAAATTTTTCCACAAAAATTATGAAAACAACCAAACTTCAATTAAACCCATCCCACAACACAACCAAATACAATAAGAACCCAATGAAAAGAGGTTTGTTGGCTATGATAACCAGCCCCAACCTGTCAAGTGAGGGTCAACTTACGCTGCGGTTGGTAGACCCGGAAACAGCGGCCAGGTGCTTCGCCAATGGTTCATCATTCAAAGGTGATTTGCTAGTAATCACTCCAAACAATTACGCTACACCAGCAGCGTTACCGGACATTTCTGACCTAGCCCTGTAGCCTAAGGTTTTTAGAGTGTTTGTGAAATGGTTGATGTCGACTACTGGTGGTTGTAAAGGGTATGGGTCAGAGCACGTATTCCCAAAGTGTGTGAAGTAATTGGTGGATCCTTGTGCGCCCATACCAACAGTCCAGGAAGAGTGTGATTTGTCAAGTGGGAACACTCGCTGCAACTCCGTAGTTATCGAAACGACTTTAAATTGTTCAACATCGATGGGACTTTATGTGCTAATACCATGTTAATTACGTGCACCACCAACACATCAAACATATTAGACGGTAGAATAACCACGATCAAGTTATCGGTCGAAGAAGTGCATTTCCGACAGCCAAGAAAAGGAAGTTCATGGTCTTGAACTGCCGAGATATGGGGAGGGACACATTCATCCTAGAAATGAAATCAGCTTTTGAGTTAAATATGCCTGATTTTGTTCTACTAACTGAAACAAGAGTTTCCATTGAGATGGCAAGGGTGATTACCAAGAAATTATTGCCATACAGGGTTAGCGGACGGTTATATGGTGCTGCCAAAGGAGGATATGCAATGCTGATTCTCGCAACCGACATGGCGGTAAACTTGATGGGTTACGGTGGAGGACAGTACAAATGTGCATTCCAAGATCTAAATTCAAATGTTAAGTTATAATTACCCACTGTAACTTTTTAATTAAATGTCCATGTTCTAAATTATCTCTAAAGTATTATATGTAATGTTATTTTAAATTGATTGCATTTGCATTGCACCATAAATTTTAAATTAGGACAATTATTATTGGATACACTAAACATGTCACCCAAACGTAACATGTAGCCCAAACATAACTCAGCCCAAACGTAACACAGTCCACTACTTCACGTAACCCAAACCCAAACCATGTGCAGTCCAACTACTTTTGTACAACTTTTTATGCCCAATTGTAATTGGACTCAAATATACAGCATAACCATATATTAAGCCCAACTTTTTATGGACTTACGGTATATACAACCCAACTTTTTATGGACTAACCATATATACACCCCAACTTTTAATGACAAACTCAGCCCAAACGTAACACCATGTTTAGGGACTAACTATATAGCCCAACTTTTAGGGACTAACTATACAGGTAACTACACATGCTTTACTTTTTGGACTATACGCCCCAACGTTTTTGGGACAAACTACACAGCCCAAATGATAACATAGCCCTACTTACAATGACAAATTAGATACACATCATAGAGGCCAAACACATTAATAATCATGATAAACTGCATATCAGGGAGAATTGATAATAATTAAAAAATGTAGCTAAAATAAACAATAAATTAAACACAAAACACATTAATCCTACCTTGAAAAAATAAGTTACATTACATTACACATATTCTAACAAATTAGTCACATTTTGTCGCAATTACAAACAATCAGAACATTTCGGGATGATGTTTGCGTCAGGCCGTCAATTTCAGTCAACAGTGCATCCAAATTCACAACCTGAACATAAAGGGAAAAAAATAAGCACATGCCATTTTTAACAAATTGTCAATCTCAATACGGTAACACTGCAGTGACTTACTCGTTTATTATACATAGTGAACAAATCAGACAGCGAATTTGAAACAACTACGTTCAACTGATTTGAAGAAGAGGCACATTTAAAAATGAAAGATACACGCGTAACAAGGGCACTACAACTCTTCATGTCCACATCACAAAGCTGTTATTTCAACATAAACATTCTTAAATAAAAAACAGCAAAGGGGAATCAAAACAGGTTACTAACAACACAAGAACAACATAACTAACCTCAGAAGAGACCAACACAAGCAGGTAGCATCTGTTATTGTTAAAGAACGCATCAACAACATGTACACATGACACATCAGTATGAACAACTCCCACAAATGAAACAACAATCGCCTAGGTAACCAATAACAAAGTTATTATAATGTTAACAGCCATATATAGTGGCACAGATGAAAAGGCTCAAAGAATAGCATACCGAGAAGGAAAAATTGTTACAGAGCTGCTTCCCTATCATGCATACTTTATCCTCGGAAATTGACCTGAACAACTGAACAATAAACACCGGTCAGTTAATGATGCCTAATCCCCACAACTTGCAAAACATAATTCCATAATACAGCTAAACACATTTGTGAACATTTCTTACAAAAGAGCAAATCTTCCTCACAACTTGCAAAGCATCATCAGAAAACCACCTAGTAATCATGGAGTACGTTAAAACAACACCACTAAACGAAAACCAAAACAATTATACAAACTAATTCAACAACAGCTCCATAGGTATACCTCTTTATCTGTTCGACTTTAAACCATAAATCTTCTATTTCAACAACATTCAAACAACAGTGGAAGCCCTGAAGCTGAACTACAAGGACCAACATCAAACCATCCTTTTGGTCATCATCAACTGCCTCAATTGGATCCTTATGACGGTACTGACGTAGGTTATTAATCGTGGGATATCACCTCGGTGTGGGCTTTGTAGACGAAAATACTGAACCATGTCTGAAGGACTGCAAAATACCAAGTGCAGGATCAGTTACTGCACCGAAGGGTTAACACCAACAATTCAGCTAAAAATATTAATTAATACCTTCGCACAAAAACCATCGATGGGCCCATCGGTATCCCTAGCCAACCGAGGATGGCTTTCACCATAAGCAACATCCAAAGTCTGCAACGGTACTACACATTCATACATACACTAAAAAAATATCAAAAATTAAATGCACAATCAAGGGTATCAATACATAAACCAAGGACACCAAAATTGCCGCCATCTGGGAACTAGTCTTCCTTGATAGCCTTTCGAATCTCCACCATGTTCCAAGCCTCTATCCTAGGAAAAACTCCCCAATCCACGGGTAGCCTATCTAGCCGGTCCAAATACATAACCTATTAAAAATAAGGGATATTTTAAATTCAAAATACACAAACACAACCCAAATTGTATATAAAAGTACTACAAATCAAGTCTTACCACAACAAATATAAGACAGCCCCCGCATCCACTAGCATAACCACTTGAATAGAACCGCCTACCAAAAGTACGAACATTATCCATAAGATTTTTAAGAACAAGACTACACCAGTCAAAATCCGCGGCATTAGAGGCACAAATTAGTGACGGAACAAGGTCAGCCGCCAATCGGGATGACTGTGTGGGACAGAGCAGCACCTCAAGTGACAGCAGGAGGAATAAGGTCTTAAACTCAACAGATTCAGTTTCCTCCCAAAGACCCTCAACTCTTTCCATAAGTTTGGAATTCACTGGAATGCCCTCACTGATACATTTTCGACCAATCTTCTTAGACTTAGTATCCCAGGATTTCCCATATTTTGACATAATCTTATTAACCTGCCCCAGCATTTCTTCATTCAGTGACTTATAGGTAGGGACAGCCGTACCACTATTTGGTATACCCAGAATCTAGTGAACTTGATTTTTAGACAAGGAAAACACTCTCCCATCAGCAGCCCTACGAGTGTAATTAAAAGGATTTATACGTGTCATTAGCCAGTATGCTATATGCCTAGGAAGATGCATGTCTGCTACAAAGTGCAGAAGCCCCCCGAATCCCATTTCATACACCCAACGTGTTCTACGCTCATCAAATGTCTGGCATATCCTTCCAAAAGTCTCAATCCGACATACAGTATTTGGTGGTTGCGTCCCAAAAACAAAGGAACTAATAAGATATCAATTAACACACAAGTTATTCACATATATTCAAGTATTAAAAAATGGAGGACAATGGAATTACTCACCCGGGATCTGGCTTCTTCCATTGCCCTAAGTACTTCACCCTTTTCTTTAAGCTTACCCCCAGGAGACAACGTGTCATCCTACAATGCATATATATGATATATATTAAGTGGCAATTACTTTAGTGTGTAAACATTTAAACAACTTAAATATTACATAAATATAACCTTATAGATGTCTGCATGCAGATTCCAGGACTTTAATCCATCATATAAAGCAAAAATAAATTCAAATTCTATTATACCAAAACAACTAAGAACCATATTCTACAATTAAATTCAAATTCTACTATTACCTTATGTACACAATCACCAACGCATACCCTTGACTTTCTTTTCAGATTTTTCTACTATCCGTAGTTTGCATTTCCCACAGATGTTCTTCACTAATAAAAACAACAAACCAATTATACGATTAATCAAGGTAAGATCAAACTTTCAATCCTCTACCAACCACGCACTGTATCAGCTATATTCCATATTCAATTACAATTGATAACACATGAATTATCACAAAACAGGATTAAACAGGACAATGGAGTAGTGCAGCAGATCGAGCGATTTGAGGAAATCAAATCAGAAATAACAATGCAGTAGACCAATGCAGTGCTCTGTTGAAATGAAATAAGGAAGTACACTGCAATTCACTAGAATATAAGTTAGAATTACACTTACCCCTCCTTTAAAATTGATTAAGCGACACGTCCTTGAATTACATTCTGCACCTCCATTATCGAAGCTCAATCTTCACAATACAGCTGTTACACGCGGATTTTATACCGATTATCATTGCAAAATCACCGGGCAACCTTCTTAGACAACCAATTCATCAATTCGAGACAACCTTCTCAGACAACCAATTCATTAATGAATTAGGGTTATAACATCCCCAATTGACGACGACGACGAAGTGGAGAGAGAAAAACTTTAACTTTTTGCAAGTAACGTCGTCAAAATTCAACTCAAACGGCGGGTTTAACTCTTTATGAGTGATTTCCAATTTTTCCCAATCTTTATTATACAAAATGTCGCACGTACCCCTCTATAAACAAAATTCGTTTATAGAGGATATAAACATGGATTTTCTCATAGAAACAGCATAAGATGAGGCTTTAGAATTGGCTTTAAGTAATAATAAAGGGATAGTAGAGATAATAGAGGAAGAAAATGAGTATAACGAAGAACTTGAGGATAGCAAATTTGAAGAAGAAAACTATGAAGAAGTAAATAAGATGGAAGGAGAAGAGTTAGAAAATTCAAAGTCAGATGATAATGAGGAAGATAAAAGCAAAATGACTACAGGTCAACTGAAAAGAGTTGAGTATTCATTTGAAGATAATGACCTAGATCAAGTAAACAAAGAAAGCTGGAATTTCCCCCAGATTACTAATTAAGGATAAAATATTTAAAACTTCTTTCTTTAAAACTAGAACTAAATATGTATGTGAAGAAATGAAAGGAAGTATAATAATCGAAGATTGTGAACAGAAGGCAGCCGAAATTAATATCATAAACTGGAAAAGTATTAAAAAAATAAAGAAAAAGGAAATTATAGTTATATTTGTATTGGTGCAGTACATGTATAAATAACTCCTTTGCAAGATTTTGACAAGAATGTTAAATGCTTGAGTTTTATTTGGGATATTAGACATAAAGAATTTTATGATCAAATATTTAGCGGTATCACATGTAACTTAAGTCAAGGAAAGGTAATATATATATGTGAACCTAGATATTATGTGAGCTTAGAGGATTCATTTGCGTCAAAGTTTTTAACTATCAAGCTATTAAAAGAAGGAGTGAAAATGCATAAAGGAACACGACCCATGCTATTTAGATGGAAGGTGGTTTATAAGTTGGTAAATAATATAGACTCATCTTGTAAGAAACAGATAGTCGATGCTCAAAAATATGAGCAAGGAGGAGGTCTTAAGAAGAAAATTACACCTATAAAAGTATATAAATCCTAATGAAATTGAAAATATTGGGAGGAATTCTTTATGAACCCTAGAGTTAGCAATACATCGAGTAAGATGTTAATTGATGAATCAGGATTACTTCATATTGGGATGATTACAAAACCTAAAATACAAAGAAATATGAGTCTTAGAACACCAAGTCTAAGTAGACAAAATTCAACAATAATAAGGATGAAAAAACAAGGTGATGGAAAGCCAGAAGAGGATGAAGAAGAAATATTAGTTCTACTAAAGAAACTAAATAAAAAAATATGAAAATAAAAAAGCCTTAAAACAACCGGAAAGGCATAGCATTGATATGGGGTCATATTCTAATTTAGAGTTAAATGAAGATCCAAATAATTCTATTGATAAAAGCTAAGGAAGGTAATTGGATATAATAAGACCAAAATGGTGAGTGAACCAGTATATGAAGATGAAGTTAATATTCAAATAGAAGCTTAATGAAATATCCAGTACTAATCCTAATAACATATATATTCCAATTGATATATGCATCGAGGATTATAATAAATATAAATTATGTGCATATATTGTTAGTGGTTGTTCTACATGTTTTGGAAAGAGGTCATTATTTCTAGAACTCTTGTGGAGAAAGGCTAAAAATCCTATGCAAGTTAGAATTGCTAATAATAGTGTCATGATGCATACGGAGATAATCGAAGAATTATCAATAGAAATTGGAGGAGCTCAATGTGTTATTCCTATTTTATGAGCAACTGATCAACCTAGTCATGATATGATAATAGGAAATAATTTTCAAAGATTATACTCTCCATGCACTCAAACCATTGATCAAATAATCTTCACTATTAATGGTCATTCTGTCCCTATACAGAAAATAACACAGGCTTATACTCATCAGACTATGGAATTTACGCGCAGCCAGCGTGGTGATAGGGTTACACCTACACAACGAGAGGTTGCACTTAAATTTCTTAGTGTGATTCATCATTAATAATTAGATAAATAATCAACAAGAAAAATTTTGTGAAAAATTATGTTCAACAAATCCATTAGAACATTGGGAAAAGGATAAGGCATTTGCTAAGATAATTTTAACAAATCCTAATAAGATTATTAGAGTAAGACAAATGGTCTATACCTACCAAGATATACAGGAATTTGATGAACAAATAAAAGAATTGCTAAATAAAAAGCTAATTAGAAAATGCAAGAGTCCTCAAAATAGTCCAGCATTCATGGTAAGAAATCATGCAGAAGAAACAAGAGGTAAAGCTAGAATGGTCATTAATTAAAAGCAGCTAAATGATAATACTGTTTTTAATGGCTATTAAATTCTTAATAAAACTGTGTTATTTAATAGAATACAAGGATCCACATGGTTTTCTAAAATGAATTGTAAGAGTGGCTACTGGCAAATTAAAATGGATTGTAAATTTTTGTCATTTTAAGGCCATGAGTATCTATTTGAATTCATGAGTTGGGATGAATCATTTGATAAACACAGTTTGGATTGTCTAATTAGAGATTACGGTCTAAGGTAGGAAACGAATTAGATCTATGTTGAGCCTGATCTAAGGAAGACAGGGTTAGGGTTAGCTACCTTGGTAAAGCTGGAAGCTCAAAACGCCGGAGGTTCCATTGTCGACTAAGTTCAGGTATAGGTCAAAACTCTCTAGTTAAATAACTATTATTGCGAAGCATGGTGGACTTTTAAACTGTTAAAATAATTTATTTTGATGTATAAGTAGTAGATTTGTGATAACTAGTACCGTTAAAAGTCATTTAAGTAATTATCAGATCAAATTATAGTAAAAATCAGTGTATTATTAAAAAATGTTATTTTAAATTAAGGTACTATTACTAATTTATCAAATAGTGTTATTAATTCATTAAGTATTGTTATTTACCCTAAATAAAATATATTTATTAAAAAAAAAGACGTCACTTGGTATTGGGGCGAGTAGCCTATACCGGGTAGCGGTCCATCATTCCCCAGCGGAACCTACCTATAGTGGCTTAGCTTAGGGACATAAAGGCCGGAGAGTGCAACATGTGACGCAGATAGTTGAGTTGCTCGGACATTGGTATGTTTGTGTACTTAAAATAATTTGTTTGGGATTCAAATAAATCAAGTAATCAACCATGCTCATGAATCCTAAATTATTGTCATTTTATTTCTCACCTTGTGTAACATGTTATTATACATATATTCATGTGTAACATATATTTTGTCATGATCTGTTGCGTAATATGGAGCTTGATTAAGACTTTGAGACTAATGAGTAGGTTAGTTAAACTCACCTTAGTGGGTATGTTGAGGAGGGAGACTCTCATGTGAGTTCACTTAATTGTGGAGGTAGAATCTCAAGCTGTGAGTTGTTACTTTTGCTTATTTTATTATATCCCTTGTTGAGTGTCATGGATGATTAGGGCTTGGACTTGTAACTCTTGATGAGCCTTAAGTGTTAATCTTATATCCCTAATTCATTGGCTAATTAATTTGTTAACTATGTTAATTATGAATCATATAAATACGTGACTTTTGGGTAGGTATTTGTATGAGGTAATTAATGATAGTCTAATAATTAATTGATTTATTAAACTTGGAGATCGACTAGAATTATAAATGTGATTTTGTTCTATATGTTTGTTTGCTTGAGGCATATCTTTCCTTCATGGTCTAGGTGAGACCAGTTGTCTCCTTGTTAATATTAGGGGTGAGCATAAAATCTGTTGCAACAGGTTCTTCAAAATGAGAACCAGAACCGGAACCTGTTGAACAGGTTCCTGGAAATTGGGAACCGGAACCGGAACCTGTAGGTTCCGGTTCCGATTCAGGGTACCCTGTATTATAATATACTCACTAACTTTTTCGCGGAATTTTTAATAAAAAAACTGGTTGGTCACTAATTTATAATGTTTGCAACTTGCAAATAAGACAAACTAATAGTAGTTGTCTAACAATTTAATATATATATTTTTATAATTGTAATTTTGATATTTATTATTTAAAAATTGAGTAAGAATTAGTGTATAATTTGAAATTACGTGATACTTTTATCAGGTACAAGATACCCTACAGGTTCCGGTTCCAAAAAATTGAGAACCTGAACCGAAACCTATTACAACAGGTTTTCCAGTTTGCTACCCGGAACCAGAACCTCTTGTACAAGTTCTGGTTCCGGAACCTGCGATTCCTAACAGGTTCCGGTTCCGATTCAGGGTACCCTTATTTTTTTCTCACCCCTAGTTAATATAGTAGAAGTAAGAGTATTATTTTAACTTAAGTTTGAATAGATCAATACGGTCAACAAAATTTGTAGAGCTCTACATATTGGAATAATTAGAAGGAATTACCCTAATTTTAAAAGGTATTTTAAATAGCATGTGTTTTAACTTTGGTTAATATAACCTATGTAGGGGTATTAAATTTTTTTTTCAGCTTATTATGTGGGCTAATGGTACGTCTCACGAGTATTTGTACATATTGTTAACCTCTAGTGCTTTTTGTGTGAGGGTGCTTAAATTATTTAAGGTGAGATATTTCTTAGTATGCTCTGTAGTTGAATTTTTGAGACATTGTGATGTTGTGATTGTTGAGTATGATGAATTTAATTTATCCACTTATGTAAGTGATCATTTATTAAATTCATTAATGAGCAATGTAAATTTTTCAAGCTAGCATAAACCTTTAATTTATACTTCGTACTATTTAAAGGTTTTAATATGTGATTTAGATGAATTATGCTAATTTGATTTGAGGTTGTACTAATGTTATTACAATGGGTTGACATAGTACGATTACATTGAGAATGACTTGAATTGTGTTAAATTCCAATATGCGAATCATGTGCTAGTTTGAGAATGTTTTCTCAATTTTGTAATGGTAAGATAATTTAAAATTTATACCTAAGAGTCATATATATACATAGTTTACTTCATGTTTTTATTTAACCTTTTCTTTAGTGAAGTTGGTAGATCAGCTAGGAAGGAGCAAATTTAGAGTCCAAACTAGTCAAGTCTAATTGTCTTTCTTAATTAATTAGAAGGGTTTGAGGATTAGAAGAAGTCATGGGGTGTCTTCAAAAAGTGATGGATAAATATCCATAACCATATGGAGAAACCATGTCCTTGTGTTCGTGCTAGTTTTGGAGAGAAACAAGTTAAATATAAGTCCTTATTTGTGATCTATTGAAGTTTGTGAAGGTCAGTTTTGTCTAGCCATAATAAAGCCATTAGATGTAATATTGAATTTCATGAGTCAGTTGAAAGTAAAGAAATTGATATAACTTCATCAAAGGTTTGGTGATTAACTATCTTTGTTATTTCTCATCATGACTAAGTTTGTGCATTCATTTGTCTTGTTTGCATTATTATCTTCTAATGTTTTGATAGTGGTTCAAATGAAGGCATATACTGCAAACTAATATGACAACTTAGTTATAAAATTGAAAGTGGAGGAATATTTTCTAAGTATGTGTCCTTGTAAGAAATAATA